CGAAAGGGCGGGCCGGGCGTTTCGCTTGAGATTTCTTGACCAATTGTGATCCTGAAGCCTCACGAATGCAGGGCGGCCCGTATTCAAATTGTTGTTCTCGCTCTAACGCCGCGCACATTCGTTTTGAACAATTGCAGCAGTTTCACGGATGGAGGGCGATTCCTTCTCAAATTGTGGTCCTCGCCCTAGCGCCGTCGTTTCAAACAAATTCAAAAGCTTCATTGATGGAGGGCAGTCCGCTTTCAAAATGTAGTTCTCGAGCGTCGCGCACATTCGTTTAGAACATTTGCAACAGTTTCCTTGATGGAGGGCTGGCCGCTTTCAAAATGTGGCGCTAGAGCGCCGCGCACATTCGTTTCAAACATTTGCAACCTTTTCGCGGATGGAGGGCAGTCCGTTTTCAAACTCTGGTTCTCGCCTTAGCGCTGCGCGCATTCGTTTTAAATATTCACAGCACATTCACAGCACATTCACGGATGGAGCGCGGTTCCTTCTCAACATGTGGCTTTCGCCTTAGTGCCGCGCATTTTCGTTTTAAGAGTTTGCAGCAGTTTCAACGATTCTCATGGTCAACGTTCCAGAAATTCTTCACGCTTCGCGTATCCCCACCAGTGCAAATTAGCCCCGCCCGTGGCCTGGACGTCGCTTCCGCTCCCTGACCGTTGACTCGGAGCCGCTGACCAAAAAAAGTATCCCCACCAGTGAGGAGGCCGTTCTCCTGGTCTTCGTCGGCTCTGGCTTGAACTACCTGTACATCAGCGTTGTTTTCGCCGCTTCAGTGGCAGCGTCGCCCGCTCCTGCTGCTTAGGGCCTAGTTTAGCCCGCTGCTCGTTACTTGCGCGTTTCCGGACGGCGCGCAGTTGGACCGCGACGCTCGCGAAAAAAAGTATCACCACCAGCCCATTCAGAAGCCCTGCCCACGAGAGCTGACGGGAAAAGAGACGAAGGGACACATCTAGGGAAACAAAGCGAGCAACCAGGATGAACCGAGAGATCTCTGGGAGCAAGGAGGTGGCCTTGGAAGGCCTCTTCGGGCCATCCCTGGGGGCCGCGTGGGGGCGAGGGGAAGAGCGGGAGGAGGAGGAGTAGGAGGAGGAGGAGGAGGAGGAGGAGGAGGAGGAGGAGGAGGAGGAGGAGGGGGAGGGAGGGGGAGGAGGGGAGGAGGGGAGGAGGGGGAGGAGGAGGAAGAGGATGAGGAGGAGGAGGAGGAGGAGGAGGAGGAGGAGGAGGGGAGGAAGGAGGAGGAGGAGGAGGAGGAGGAGGAGGGGGAGGAGGAGGGAGGGGGAGGGGGAGGGGGAGGGGGAAGGGGAGGGGGAGGAGGGGGAGGAGGAGGAGGAGGAGGAGGAGGAGGAGGAGGAGGAGGAGGAGGAGGAGAAGGCCTCTTAGGCGCCTCTTGTGACACTCTTGGGGCCTCCTGGGGGCTTCCCGGGGGCCTCTTGGAGGGTTTTTGGGGGCTTGTGGGGGCTTCTTGCGGGCCTCCTTGGCCGTCTTAGGGCGTTCCTGGCTTGTCTGACGCCGTCGGAAGCTGTCTTGTGGGCCTGTCTGGGTCGTCTTGGGGTCCTCTTGGGGCATAGCAGGGGTTCTTAGAGGCCATCTTGGGCGTCTTGGAGGCCTCTTGGGCTGTTTTTGGGCCCTCTTGGGGCCGTCTTGGGGGCCTTTTGGGCCGTCGGTGTGCCATTTGGAGGCCTCTTTGGCGATCTTGGGAGCTTCTTGCGCCGTCCAGGGCCGTCGGAATGCCGAAAAGAAGCACATGCCAACATCTTTCAAAAACCTAAGGACAATCAATGATTTTGGCCTCTTCGTGCCCTCCTGGAAGACCTCCTGGGCGCCTTTTGGGGCCGTCTCGGAAGCCTGTTGGGGGCTTCTTGGGCCGTCTTGCGCCATCGCGAGGCCATCTTAGGCCGTCTTGGGTGCATCTTTGGTCGTCTTGGAGGCATCTTGGGGCCATCTTAGCCGTCTTGGAGGCCATGTTGGCCGTCTTGGAGGCCTCTCGGGCCCTCTTGGGGCCGTCTTGGGGGCCTCTTTGGCCGTCTCGGGGCCATCTTGGAGGCATCTCGTGCGATCTTGGGGGCCTCCTGGGCCGTCTTGAGCAGTCGGAACGCCGAAAAGAAGCAAATGCTACAATCTTTCAACAACCCAAGGAACATCAGTGATTCTTAGGCTTACGCCACACCGCCGACCCCTTGTTTATGCCAATCTGGGGGTAGTAGAAGCTGCGAAGGGGTGAAAAGGCGAGTGATATTTCTTTGGTGTCTGTTCGCCGCCACCGCCAGAGGGTCTCGGGCAGTTCCGCGGGGGGGTCCGAGCGGACGGCGACACCGCGAGTTTTGGAGCCACTTGGGGGCCGTTTCGGAGCCTCTGGGGTGCTTCTTGGGGGTTCCTTGGGGCGTCTGGGCGGCCTCGTGAGGGCCTCTGGGGGCCTCTTGGGGCACTCTTGGGGCCCCCTGGGGCTCCTGGGGGCAGAAAGCTAGAGTTTCAACATGTTTGGTCGCCCTCTTGGGCCCCTCTTGGTGCCGTCTTGGAGCCCTCTTGGGCCGTCTTGGGGACCTCTTGGGCCGTCTTGGGGCCGTCTTGGGCCGTCTGGAGGCCGTCTTGGGGGCCTCTTGGGCCATCGTGGGGCTATCTTTGGGGCCTCTTTGCCCGTCTTGGAGCGTCGGGGAGCCGGAAAGGCGGAAAAACAAAAACATAGAAAAACATTATGGAAAATCAACAATTTTAGTCTTTTGGGGCCCTCTTGGGAGGCTTGTTTGGGACCTCGGGGGCCGTCTTGGAGACCTCTTGGCCCGTCTTGGGGCCATCTTGGGCGTCTTGGAGCGGTCGTTTGGCGTCTCGGGGCCTGCGTGGGCCGTCTTGGAGGCCTCTTGGGGGCTTCTTGGCCCGTCTTGAGGCCCTCTTGGGCTCGGAAAAGCCCCGTGAACCGCTCGTCCCGGCCGTGCTGCGCTCGTGCCGGACCCCCCCCCCCCCCTCCAAATCGACCGGACCGGGCTCCCGGGGGAGGGATTTGGGGAGGGGGAAGCATCTCACACGCCGATGATCCCCAAGGGGTCGGCGGATTTGTTGCCTATTCGGGTCGTTCCGGGGGACCTCTTGGAGGCCTCTTGGGCCGTCTTGGAGGCCTCTTGGGGGCCTCTTGGGCCGTCTTAGGGCCTCAGACGGCCATCGTGGGCGCCATAGAGGCCTCGTGGAAGCCATCATGGGGAGCCATCATGGGCGTCTTGGAGGCCCCTGGGGCCGTCTTGGGGCCCTCTTGGGGCCCTCTTGAGGCTCTCGTGGGGCCCTCTGGCGAGCCCTGGAAGACCTCTTGGGGCCATCTTGAAGGCCATCGATCAAAGGAGGAGCGGGGATAACGTTCAGCCCCCCCCCCCCCCCCAAAGAGGCCAACATGGGGCCAAAATCTGAGTAAAACCAGCGATTTTGGCGCCCAGAGGGCTGGTGAGATAACTTTCAGCCCCTCCCCCAAAGAGGCCAACATGGGGCCCAAACTTTGGTAAAACCAATGCTTTTGGCGCCTAGAGGGCTGGTCGCCCAACGTTCGGCCCCCTTCAAAGAGGCCAAAATGGGCCCAAAACCTATAGTAAAACTAATGATTTCGGTTTCCTCGGTGAGGCCGCTTTGGACGCCCTGATACATCGCGGGGGGGCCCCATAAAGTCCAGGGGAGGTGTACGGGGAGGGGTAAACCCCTCCCCGTAGGGAAGAGTTTTTTTTTTGAAGAGGGAAGCGGCACCTCGTCAGACCACCTGTCGCCTAAAGGGCTGGTGGGATTGTATTTTTGCACGATTTCGGAATGTCAGGGCGCAACAGTTACGTTGGTTCGCAGTGTTGACGCTTCAGGGAGGATGTTCTGGCACGATTCAGGAACGTCAGGACACAACTATATCTGTGATTCGCGGTGTTGGAATTGTGTGCTGGCGCAGTTCTGGATGCTCAAGCGGTTGCATTCCGATGGGGCATTTCCCTCATTGCAAATGAACCCTTGTATGGGGCCTATGAAGAGGGATCTTGGAGGGAGGGTTTATTGCAGTATCGTTCATGGGACTTGGGTTTAGACTCCGCTTGCTCCTCCTCCTCCTCCTCCTCCTCCTCCTCCTCCTCCTCCCCCTCAGTGTTCTCACGCCTCCGTCTCCCTCCGCTTCCTCCTCGCCGTATCCCCGCTCTTCCTCATCCTTCCTTCCTTCCTCATCCTTCCTTTCTCCTTCCGCCCTTCCTGCTCCTTCGAGACTCCTCTTGCTCCTTTCTCCTCCTCCTCCTCCTCCTCCTCCTCCTTCCTTCCTTCCTTCCTCCTCCTTCGAGCTCCCCCTCCTGTTCGTCCACGAGCCAGGGCCCCCTGTGCCACCTGTTCCAGGCTGCTGTGGCAATTCTTGCGGTTGCGACTGCTCCCACTTGGGCAGTGATCGGAGGGCACCAACTATACACCAACACCGATCCTGGCCCAGGATCACCCTGGGCCCAGGATCGGTGTATATGCCTTCTTGCGCAAGGCAGGAGGGCGTATACACCGATCCTGGGCCCAGGGTGATCCTGGGCCAGGATCGGTGTTGGTGCATAGTTGGTGCCTTCCTAAGTGAATGGGTTCTGGTTCTGATTTGAGCCGCCCCGCACGGCTGGCGCCTTTGCTCTGCAGTTCGAGCGGCGGCCAAGGCATTGCCGACGGTCGAACGCAAACGAGTGTCCCCGCCTGACTTGACCCATGCCGCGCCGCCGCGAAGCCGCGATGCCCCCCCCAGCAAAAAGAGGGTGCTTGTCCTACGCGCCGCCGCACGCGTGGCCGCGACGCCAAAAAGCGTGTGTGTGTGTGTGTGTGTGTGTGTGTGTGTGTGTGTGTGTGTGTGTGTGTGTGTGTGTGCGCGTGCGTCGTTGTCGGCGTCGGCGCACTCGGATTCCCATCGCGGTCGCCGCAAGGCAGATGTGGTAATGGGCGTCGGCTTTGTTCATTGTGGTGCAGAGGCGGGGAGGGCGATTGATTGTCTGACAGGTCGAGCGACGAAAACATTTTGCCAGGTGTGTACCCGGTTCCGCCAGAGGCCAACATCTGGTGGATGAACCGCTACCAGGTGCCAGGCACGCTGGCACTCTTGAATGTTTCGCCGTGCATGTTTTCCTCTCCAAGCTTCCCTATCTTGCGTGCTGCAGCTGCATGTTCCGCCTGGCAAGGGTGCTGTGTTGGTTGGCGCATCGCATGCGTCCATTTCAATGTGCTCGCCCCTGGTGTCTAGACTGCCCGCACTGTTCCAGTGATGTGGTGATATTCCTCGTTCGGAGATGGCCCAATCGCGGTGACGCATGGCACCTGTTTTGGAGATGTGCCGCTCGTGATTTCCACGCGGTGGGGAGTGCAACACACGGCGGCGCCAGCGATGGCAACCAGTGGGCAGCCTAGGGGCAAGCTATCCACAAAGTGTGATTCGTATGCGACAACAATCGGACGAGTGCGTCTGACAAGTGTACGATCGACGACATCTCCTTTGGGCCAGCCAGCGTCTTCTTGCAAGTGCTGCCCTCTGGCCGAATCCGTGTTACAGGTGGGCTCATGAGCTTGCTTGCCAAACGTGGCGCCCTAGCCAAATGGTTTTCTGAGTATGTGGCTTACTGTGTGGCTCCGAGAGGATGGGGGAGGAGATATTACACATTGCGTGTCCTCTTGGTGTGGTGAAAGGACATGCGCCCCCCTGGACCTGTTCACGAGGCCGTTTTGCCACCAGAATTTTTGAATGCAGGATCGCAACAGATCAGTCGCATGTTTCCGAGGGGTATGGCTCTGTTTCGGTTGGAGGTGGATGTTCAGTGCTTTCGGAGGCGGAGGCGGAGGCGGAGAGGAGGAGGAGGAGGAGGAGGAGGAGGAGGAGGAGGAGGAGGAGGAGGAGGAGGAGGAGGCGCAGGAGAAGAAGGAGGAGCAGGAGTGGGCGGAGCAGGAGGGGGTGGAGGACATCGACAGATTGCGCAGCCTTTCAGGGTGGCTGGTCCCTGCAAGAACAACGACATAAGGTACATATACACAGTTCATGACATTCAGTGGCGAACCCTTGTTGGTTCAGGGGGCTGCCCGTGACGGGCGGAACGGATCTGGAGACAGCCAACCTCATCGTATTGATGCCAGCCTGTTTAACGAGAGGGATCAGGGGGCGGTTGCCCGGGCCGTTTGGATGTTGTGGTGGACGGACTGAAAATGGGGCGACTCGAATACAGTGGGCATCGGTGTAGCCGGGAGGCGAGCGGGCTGTGCAATGAAGGAAGAACCATGAATTTTTGCGGGTTGGGGCCGGGAAGTATGAGGGATCGGGCGGGTAGTCAGTTAGGAGAGAAACGAACGTGTGCTTTAGTAGCTATGCCACTGCACCAAGCGGGGGATGATTGAATGAACGATGTGATTCCAGGCTGATCGATAAGGCTGAGAAGGATGGGGGATCGGGGGAGTAGCTGGTATGTAGAAGGATGTCGGATTCCTGTTCGACGGGAGGGCCAGTTGGGATGGGGGGCCAGCCGACGCAGGGAGGTGGGGGGGGCACCCGAGAATAAGACCGATTACAACCACTTCGGACTGTTCAGAAACTACTTCGGTCAGATTACAAACCCTGGAAACGGACTGATCGCAACCTGAAGGATTCCTAGACACGTCTTCGTGGAGAACACCGGATTGCAACCGATCCAAGAGCTTCTGCAGAGCTTCTGCAGACTTTCTGCAGAGCTTCTGCAGAGCTTCTGCAGAGCTTCCGAAGAGCTTCTGCAGAGCTTCTGCAGAGCTTCTGCAGAGCTTCTGCAGCGCTCCTGCAGAGCTTCTGCAGAGCTTCTGCAGAGCTTCTGTAGAGCTTCTGCAGAGCTTCTGCAGAGCTTCTGCAGAGCTTCTGTAGAGCTTCTGCAGAGCTTCTGCAGAGCTTCTGCAGAGCTGTTGCAGAGCTTTTGCAGAGCTTCTGCAGAGCTTCTGCAGAGCTCTTGAAGAGTTGCTGATGAACTTCTGCAGAGCTTTTGCAGAGCCTCTGCAGAGCTTCTGAAAGGCTTCTGAAGACTTGCTGCAGAGCTGCTGCAGAACTTCTGTAGAGCTTCTGCGCTCGTAGGAATTCCTAGGATTGGATTGGATTGGACCCCCAGGCTTTTGGATTGGGAGGATCCTTAAGAATTCCAAGGATTCCTTACGAGACCCTCACAGGAATCTGAGAATTTGTAGGATACCTAGGAATTCTTAGGATTCCCAAAGAGGCCTTCTCAGGAATCTGGAAATTGGTAGGATCTTTAGGAGTTCCAAGGATTGCTCAGAAGGCCCCAGGAATTCCCAGGATTCCTTGGGAGGCCCTTCAAGGAATCCGGGCCATGGGTTGGATCCCTGGGCATTCCGAGGCATCCTTAAGAGGTCTTCTCAGGAATCTGGGCGCTTAGTGGAGTCCACGGGAATTCTTGACGCTTCGCGTATCCCCACCAGCCCATCCTACACCAGGCACTCGAACGAAGAGCGCCGATGATCGGCAGCTGTTCTCCTCCCCCTCTTCCTCCTTCTCCTCCGCCTTCTCCTCCTCCTCCTCCTCCTCCGCCTCTTCCTCTTCCCTGGTGGCGTCTTGGAGGTATCTTCGAACGTTTTGGTGGGCTCTTGGGTCTCGCGGGCGGGCGGGCGGCGCTCCGCCCGCCCGCGCGCAGGGCGCAAGATGAGAGTCCGAGACGTCTCTTGAGGCCCTCTTGGAGGACATCGATCGCAGAAGGGGGAAGCATTTTTTAGCGTCGCCCCCCTGGGGGGCACGATCCTCGTGAGGGGTGTCGAATTTTAGCCCTCCCAGGGGTCGTTCTTGGACGCTCTAACTACCCGCGGCCCCCCCTGTCCAGGTCAGTGGGGAGGGGGTAGGGGGAGGGGTAAACCCCTCCCCGAAGGGGAAGAAGGAGGGGTGGAAGAGGAAACGCTCTAAACCACCGACGCCCAGAGGGCTGGTGGGATTATAACAAATATTGTAATGATTAGGAAGAAGAGGAGGAAGAAGCGGGAGGGGAGGACGCAGGAGGAGGAGGAATGGGTGGACGCGGGGGAGGAGGATCCTGGAGAGCTCATATGGCCATTTGGAATCGTCTTGGGACGGTGTTGGAGCGTCTTGGAACATCTTCGGTGCCATCTTGAGGCAGGTTGCGCTATCTGGAGGCAGCCGCTTGGAATCGTCTTGGAGCAGTCTTGGAGCGTCTTGGAACATCTTCGGAACCATCTTGAGGCAAGTTGCGCAATTTTCAGCCATATTGGAGGCTATCTTGGGCTCCCCGAAGCTCTTTCGGAACCGTCTTGGCCCATCTTTCACTATCTTGTGAGCCTCCTGGAGGCCTCTTGGGCGTCTCTTGGGGCGTTCTTGAAGCGCTGTTGGAGGCCTCAGAGGCGCTGGTAGAGCCCATATTGGAGGGGATCTGTCAAAGAAAGCGGAAGCACTAATTAGCGTCGCTCCTGGAAAGCCTCTAAAATCGCCTCCTGAACCGCTCTTGGAGGGCTCTTGGAGCGCTCTTGGGCGCTCTTTGCGCCGTCTTCGGGCTTTCTTGGGCCCTTCTTGGAGCTATCTTGAGCCATCTTGGAGCTATCTTGACGCCTCGGGTGGGCATCGGAAGCGAAAGCGCGAGAACGCCAAAAACATTGATTTTCCCTAGGGTTTTGAAACATTTTGGCTTCTTGGGGGCATCCGAGGGGAGCTCTAGTGGACACTTAGAGCCGTCTTGGGGCGGTCTTGGAGCGTCTTGGAGCATCTTCGGAACCATCTTGAGGCATCTTGCGCTATCTTGAACCATCTTGGAGGCGATCTTGGGCTCCCTGAGGCCCTCTTGGAGTCGTCTTGGCTCATCTTGGACGCTCCAACGCGTCGCGGCCCCCCCTGTCCAGGTCAGTGGGAGGGGGTGGGGGGAGGGGTAAACCCCTCCCCGAAGGGGAAGAAGGAGGGGTGGAAGAAGAAACGCTCTAAACCACCGACGCCCAGAGGGCTGGTGGGATTCCTCGGACTCCCTAGAGGCAGCCCTTTTAGGAACCTGGGGCATTGGTCGGATCGCCCGGAATTCTCAGGACTCCCTGAGAGGCCCTCTCGGGGATCCGGCACTTGGTCGGGTCCTTCGGCATTCTCAGGACTTCCTGGGAGGCCCTTCCAGGAATCTGGGGGTTGGTCAGGTCCATAGGAATGCTGTAAGGTCCCTTAAAGAGGCCCTCTCAGACATTTGGCAGTTGGTCGGATCCCTGCGAATTCCTAGGATGCTCTCGGCGGCCCTCCCAGGAATCTGGGAAGTGGTGGGAGCCCTAGGAATTCTTAGGACCACTTCAGCAGCCCTCTCAGGAATCTACTGATTTGAAGGACCCCCCCGGGATTTTTAGGAATCCCTAAACAGGCCTTCTCAGGAATATTGCAATTGGTCGCATTCTCATGAATTTCCTATACATTCCGATAGGCCCTCTCAGGCATCTTGCAAATTGTAGGATCCTTTGGAATTCCTGGGGTTCCGATGAATTTCTTGGGTTCCCGAAGAGGCCCTCCCAGGAATCTGAGCAATTTGTGGTATCCTGTCGTATTCCTGGGATTGCCTAGGAGGCCCTCTGAGGATCCCGCAATTGGTCCAATCCTAACAAATTCTTATTGTTCCTTAGGAGGCCCTCCCATGCATTTGAAACGTTCGTAGGATCCCTGGGAATTCCTAGCATTTCCTAGGCGGCCCCCCCAGGCATCTGGCAATGTGTAGGATCCCTAGGAATTCCTAGGATTCCCTAAGAGGCCCTCTCGGGATTTTTGGAATTTCATAGGATCCCTTGGTATTCCTAGGATTCCTTAGGACGCCCGCCCAGGAATCTGGGGAGTGGTAGGATCCGTAGGAATTAAAATTCCTTAGGGATCCTTATCAGAAGTTTGGCAATTGGTAGGATCCTTGGGAATTCCTAGGATTCCCTAGGAGGCCCTCCCATGAATCTGGGATTTGGTAGGATCTGCAGGAGTTCTTGAGAATCCCGAAGGGACACTCTTAGGATTCTGGCGAATTCCTCAGACGAATCGCATTGAAATCGTATACGAATCGCATCGGAATCGTATACGAATCGCGTCGGAATCGTGTACGAATCGCATCTGAATCGT